CTTCCATTAAGAAATATTTTGATAATATTAAACATTATGAATACTGGCGTGAAAGAAAGAACTAAGGCATCTAATGCACAGCAATAACAACATTAACTTCCACTAAAACGAAAGAAAAACAGCATCTACAGCAACATCAACATCAACAACAACATCATCATCAGCAACAACAACACCAGCAACAACAGAAGTAAAGCAAGATATAGACAACAGAAAATAATTGAAATATCCAGATAGGATTACTTTTGTGAGAGAAAAAAACCCCGACACATCTAATACACGACATAAAACATTTATTTCAGCAAAATTAGCGTAGAAAAGAAGGGAGTGAAGGAGGTGACAAGAGAAGAGGGAAGGCAAGTGATAGCCTTGACGTGCGTTCAGAAAAAACAGTGAGGAAACAGCTAGTGAAAACTATGACGTGAATAAACGACAACCGGAGAACTTGAAAGACTGGGTATATTACAGCTTTCAAAAGCCCTTCTGAGTGAATAAAAACCATAGACTTGTACTACACAACCCTAGACTGTGTACTCTGACGTACTTCCGGATCACTAAGGAGCGCAATGTTTGACCCAATTTGAGCCAAATTCAGGACAAGGGGGATGGGTGTCGCGCTCTCTCCACAATAGAGACGCTGGTGTTTTGCTCTTCATTTGGGCGTAAATGTACGGTCATGGAGCGACGTTCACACCATATGTCGGGTCTATCACTTCATTTGTTTTCTACAAATTTATTCGTTTGAAAAAACAAATCGAAGTCCAAGGTATTAACACAGGATCTTTCAATTATCTAACTTTCCACGTCACCACGTTAAGCTATATTATACTCATTGCACTTATAATTATTAAAAATTGTTCTCACAACTTGTTTTTGGCAACAACAACAAAAACAATAAAGGAAATTACTGGTCAACAACTTAAGGAAATACTTTCAGAGAGTCTACGAGTTACAAGTGTCCGGTATAAAGTTTTACTCAGTCTACGAGTTACAAGTGTCCGGTATAAAGTTTTACTCAGTCTACGAGTTACAGGTGTCCGGTATAAGGTGTCCGGTATAAAGTTTTACTCAGTCTACGAGTTACAGGTGTCCGGTATAAAGTTTTACTCAGTCTACGAGTTACAGGTGTCCGGTATAAAGTTTTACTCAGTCTACGAGTTACAAGTGTCCGGTATAAAGTTTTACTCAGTCTACGAGTTACAAGTGTCCGGTATAAAGTTTTACTCAGTCTACGAGTTACAGGTGTCCGGTATAAAGTTTTACTCACTCAACAAGGCCCTCAGTCTACGAGTTACAGGTGTCCAGTATAAACGTTTATTCATTCTACGAGTTACAGGTGTCCGGTATACAGTTTTACTCACTCAACAAGGGCCTCAACACATCAAAACATGACGTGTATAGCACACACTCCTGATCTCAACTGTACTGGTATAATATTTGCAACAACACACAAAACGGAATCAAGAAAGTCTAGTGAGACTATTCTCTACCTCAGAATTACAAAGTTCTATCTGACATTTTTGGCTGTTTTGACTTACTAAAACCATGAGGCCAGAAACCAATAAATGTTCTATCTGCTCGACCAAACTCGTATGATTATTCGGAGTCATTATCAAGATATTCAAAGAATTGCATTCGAAAAAACTTGACTTGATGTGAAACTACAAATTTCTGACGTCACATAGGTACTGAGCAAATCGTCGGCTGAACACAAGGACTGGCTATATCCACTTTTTACAGTTTCGTGAACAACGAGTTTGAAATTTTGACGATTTTAAAATCTCTATAACACAGTCAAAAAAGAAACGATAATATCTCGACACAGAATTCAGCTACGGCTGAGATATTACTTGGCGTTCATATGACTTTATGCAGTTGCGAGCGCCGTAAAACCTCTACTAAAACTGAGATATTATAAAGGTAAAAGAGGGCCTTAAAGTCTCACTACCCATATTGATTACTCAATTTTGAATGAAAGAGGATAAAAAACCCTTATTGCGCTCAGCCATCGAGATACAACTTCGTAATTCTGGAGTAGCGACTTCTGTATAAGCCGAGTGCCGCCTCATTACAACGAAACAGTTGGCCAGCTACCGTTTGTTTGATCAGTGAGTTGTGAGCAACGAGAATAAGAGAAACAACTACCGCGCAAACACGACTCAATTGTTAATCGAGACCAGTTGTCATTTTCTTACTTACATTGTCCACAACTCACGGACAATATTTTTGACCAACTGTTTTGTAGGGGTTGTCGTTGCTCAGCACTTTAAGGCAGGTTCATACTATCGACATATTATCATATCTCACTCACTACTCAAAGATAGAACTTGAGAAGAATTAACAGGCAAAACACCTAATCAAGACATTACAGGCTAGACATCACAATCAAGACATCACAATCAAGACATCACAATCAAGACATCACAATCAAGACATCATAATCAAGACATCATAATCAAGACATCATAATCAAGACATCATAATCAAGACATCATAATCA